AGGGAAAACCGCCTTTAAGAATGGCACCATCTTTTGGTACACAGTTGGATCTAGAACACAAGAAGGGGGGCAAGGACAGGAATATTCGGTCTTGGAACCAAATACTCAGAACCGGTGGGAAAATACACCAGTATCTTCCAAGCTGAGATTCAGGCAATCGATAGATGTACTCAACTCAACTTGAATAGAGGGTACAGAAACAAGAACATACCTATCATGCCAGATAGCCAACTAGCCATCAGAGCACTAAGCTCCAATATACATATTAGGTACGCAACAAAGTCAGCCTCAGCTGGGTCCCAGGACACGTACAGGAGTAGAAGGCAACTAAATCTTCTTATGTTATTAGACTAATACTCTAATAATTATACTACCAATTCTAAGGGCATCTGGCATTTTAACACATAATTCTTTGAATCATTTTCTTTTGTGGACATCTTTTCGTCAACTTCTCTTTTATAATAAATATAAAGCTAGCACTCAAAAATTAAAACAATACTGGTAAAACGAAATGTATTTACATGCCTAACCTAGTCGCAAATTAAGAATTTAAAGAAAATTTAAACTAGGTGAATTATAAAAAGAAAATGAAAAAACATATGTTTAAATGAATTGAATGCCATGAAAAATGAGTATGAACTGGCCACCTACAAATTGATTATAAATGAATAAAAGGATTTTTAAATTATTCACAGTCTGACAGGTCTGAAAGCATGTCTGTAAGTGAGATCACGTAACAAGTACGTTTTATCATAAAAATTCATTAAACAATAAAAAATACACTGAGTTCTTTATTCCATTCAGCAATACCGAAATGTATTTTAACTATATTTAATAAACAAAATGAAAAATAAACGAAAATCAATTGGTACATTTCTCTTTATGAAACAAATAAAAATATTTATAAATAAATAGTTTCAAAGCTGCATAAATATAAAAGAAAATCAGATATTTATGACCTCATTACATAAGAAACTGTTCCAAAATAGAAAGTGTTATAAAAGGTGAATTCTTTAATATTCTCTACGGTATATTTGATAAACAAATGGACTTCTGCAGACAACATAACGCTGGTCAATAACTTTCCGGTGAGAGGTTGGTAATCTTCTAAACAGTATAAAATTTTAATAATAATGAGTAAATAAATATGATAATAATCGTTTTCCGCGGTCCCTCTTGCCGTGCTCTTGCTGGAGACAATTTGAATTTGGGCTTTTCGGCAAAACGGTGATGGTTGCCAGGGTGCCGAACTCATAGACCTGAAGGGTCCCGAAAAGGCAGTCGAGGCGGTACAAAACATTAAAAACATCATTCAAAGAAAATGGAACCGCNTTATTTAGAAATCGTGAGATGCGGTCTGGTGTGATGTAGGTTTCAGAAAAACATTTTCTTTATCGTGCCAACGTTTCGATCTCTATTGAGATCATCTTCAGGGCCTGGGATTTACAAACATTGTTTACATATAACAATTAAATTTTGGATGTGGAAAAGTGAATTTATACAATGAAAAATATATTTTTTTTATATATTCAATCAAAGTATTTCTACTCACTCAAAGTGTTTGTCTTATTCACTTTTCCACATCCAAAATGTCCTTCTTCACATTCCACTCTAAACTCTTCCTCCACCCTAAGCAGCTAGCCCTAACTCTTTCCTCAACATCTCACCCTTACAATCGTCCGCGCCGTTTGAAATGACGATGGCCTCATGACCTTATATCTAACTCACCGAATTAACTTTAACCTCCCCCCCCCCCTTAAATAAAAGAGAGTTCCAGCACTGGTTGGTTTCTTTCCCCACTGCCTCCTGGTCTGACAGGTCTGTCAGATTTGTTTATAACTAAACTATTTGCTCAATGTATATTATGTACAGATAGCAATAAATAAAATAAATATATATTTGAAAAAAAAATCCAATCTCCACGCGCACCATAGTAGAAAAATTAACGTTTAACATTTTAAGAAAAGAAGTTCACGACCTTAGTGGACAGTTCTCTATTCGAGTTTACACTAGTTAACATGATGTTTGTAGATCGACCTGCAGATAATCAAAGTAGAGTTCAAATCTTCTTTAAGGTCTTTACTAGGTGAAAGAAAGTCAAAAGTGTTGGGATCACCAAGCTTTCGGAAACATTATGTTGCCATTATTAAGAAAAAATATACATAATTAATATAAATTTAACAATCAACAATTAAAACAATAATGCATACTTTCCCAAGAGAGAAGAGAAAAAATCCTCATCGGAAAAAACTAATGTAAAAGTGCTTTGGTTTAGGTTATGAAGCACATGGCCAGCATTCAGTTATACATGGTGAACGAGACATCTATGTAAAGTAGTAAGTAATTATTCGCATATAACATTAACAATTGGCAAAAAATAATAATTTATATATATATAATAACATTTTTTTTAAATTACTTCACTAATGAATTTATATAATTACAAGTCCAACTGTTTTTGTTCTTACTAGCTATTTTTGACATTAAAAACATATGTTATCACAGAGTATACTTTAATGACTAGAATTACAGCTTGTTAAAATGATATGTACAAAGGATTACAGTTAAGATGAGAACACGACACAACGTCGCCTTACCTAAGGTCGGACTGTTACAGTTAGTGAAGGCTACCAGGCTCTGTGCACTCTCCATTATGCGCCCTCTAACGGTCGCCACCTTTTTTCCGTTTTTTATAAATTTCCAATAACCCAGCAAATGTTGAGATGGAACCTAGTTCGTCACCATTTAAGTTGCAGGATTAATTGCCTCGTTAAATGGATATATACCTTTTCCAACAGGAGTCTTCTCTCAAAACTCGACCCAAAATCTCCGGGGAGTCCAAGTTAAAAAAATGACCATTCTTTGTAGCATGAAAGGACAACCCTATGGTCAACGTTTTATGAATACAATCCAATCTATGTAGTTCATTCTAATATGAATTTTCTGCTTTGTTTATCCAATATATTGAGCGTCGCAACCACCACAGGACACCCTCTAAACCACATTAGATCGAGAGCCAATAGGCTCTTTAGACTTTAAAACCGTATGAAAACCAGAAAGATTATTTTTGTATTTATAAGCAATTTTTACATTTATTTTATTAAGCATTAATTTTTTTTTTAAATTCTCTGAGTCACACCAGGAATGTAGGTGATTGACTTGAAGCCAATAGAAGTTGAAGTAGGTTCCACCTGAACATTCACCAACGGAATACCAACAGAGTTATTCATCCCAATTCTGAATCTATTCATAAGTTTGAAAATAAGTGCTAATTTATATAAAACGGAAAAAAGGTGGCGACCGTTAGAGGGCGCATAGTGGAGAGTGCACAGAGCCTGGTAGCCTTCACTAACTGTAACAGTCCGACCTTAGGTGAGGCGACGTTGTGTCGTATTGTAATCCTTTGTACATATCATTTTAACAAGCTGTAATTCTAGTCATTAAAGTAATACTCGTGATAACATATGTTTTTAATGTCAAAAATAGCTGGTAAGAACAAAAACAGTTGGACTTGCAATTACCTAGTTCTGCCATAAGTTCTGTTACAAGAAAAAGGGCCATTAGGGAATAGAGAAACTTGATAATTTGAAAAAGAAATTTATTTTAAAAAATCCAATATTTTTTAAGATTGAAATAAAATAATATTACTCGAAATGCCCACCTTTTGCCTTCACACAAGCTTTTAGTCTTCGGGGCCAATCATCTATGGCAGAACGGAACACGTCTTGAGGAAATTTCTCAACTGCTTTTAGCAGAGCGGACTTGAGGCTCTCTAAATTGGCGTGTTTCCTGTGGCAAGCCATAAGCTCAAGATGGGACCACACCTTGTAGTCCAGATGATTCAAATGAGGGCTTCCCGAGGGCCAATCTGAAGCCTTAATGAATTCCCGGAACATTCTCCTCCAGCCACTGCTGAGTTTTTCGGGCCTTGGGCGCAGGAGCTGAGTCCTGTTGGAAGACCCACTGAGTTCCGGAAAAAAGAGTAATACTTAAGGGCTTTACTACTTTCTCAAGGATGTCTTCTTGGTAATTTTTCGCCCTTGTTTTGACCTCTTGCTCACAAAAATGGAGTTTTGTGGTGCCATCGTAGGAAACTCCCCACCACACCAAGTGGGGATTTGGATCCTCTGGACTAGAAGGTGTGGTCCCATCTTGAGCTTATGGCTTGCCACAGGAAACACGCCAATTTAGAGAGCTTTAAGTCCGCTCTGCTAAAAGCAGTTGAGAAATTTCCTCAAGACGTGTTGCGTACTGCCATAGATGATTGGCCCCGAAGACTAAAAGCTTGTGTGAAGGCAAAAGGTGGTCATTTCGNTTGTTAATGTTATATGCGAATAATTACTTACTACTTTACACAGATGTCTTGTTCACCATATATAACTGAATGCTGGCCATGTGCTTCATAACCTAAACCAAAGCACTTTTACATTAGTTTTTTCCGATGAGAATTTTTTTCTCTTCTCTCTTGGGAAAGTATGCATTATTGTTTTATTTGTTGATTGTTGAATTTATATTAGTTATGTATATTTTTTCTTAATAAATAGGCCCTGATGATGGCAACATAATGTTGCAGAAAGCTTGGTGATCCCAACACTTTTGTCTTTCTTGCACCTAGTAAAGACTTAAAGAAGATTTGAACTCTACACTAGGTAACATCTTACAAACATCGTGAATAACCCTATTATTTTTAATTACATAAATTATTATTGAAAAGGTGACATGTTATCTAATTCTAAAATGTAATTTCGTTTGACAGTGAGGATGTCTGAATGACAATATATATGTGGGCTCTTTTTAGTTACTGGTTCGATATTTCCTCAGATCGTGCAGGTTTCAGTAGTAATAATATTGTCGTTATAAATTAAACTTTATCGACCGTAAGTTACACAAGCGCTAAAGGGTTTAGAGTACGTGCTGTGTAATTTCCATACGCCCCGCGCACAATCAAAGCACTTTAATGTTACACAGGATACGGCATTGTAATCACGATATTCCTGTACCTGCATATCCGCCGTGACTCTGCATTTGCCTCTTGAAAAAAAAAAATACAAGTTTTGAAATCAGTGTTGCATTAGGAGAGGGATCGCCGGAGAATAGGCAGCCTAAGTAATTTATGCATAAGCTCATTTCTTGGATAATTTATTATACCGGGGAGCAAAAGGATATAAATTAAACCGTACTAACGTTAGAGCGGAAGAAAAAAATGTACGAGTCGGGGGAAAATTGAATAGGATGTGATGGATGACAAGCCATATTCAGAATAATTCCGACACGAGTCGCCTTTAAGCATTTATGAAAAATACTCTATTTGACGTATTAGGGGATGAATATCGGCCGGCTGATATGATATGAAGTTAACCTTTTGTATAAGCAATATTAGAGGATCGTTTACATTCGGTGTGGCAACACCATATATCAAGGCCAAGGGCTAGGAAAGGAGCTTTTATTAAAATATCCGCGGGTTGATATATGCACATTCCGTCGTCCTCCCAAAGCAAGGCTCCGAACTACCTAGATATTTCTTATGTGCTCTAATATAATACAGGGGAAAAGGCGATATATTACATTTTATCTCCCCCCCCTTTTTACTCTTGCACTTTAAAACACTTAACTTGCCAGGAATTCCTTTATTAATGCATACTCTTATCAATTTGTAAACGAGAACGAGGTTTTTATAGATACTTAAAAATCAAGACGTCAAACAAAGTTTTAAGAAGAGGAGTAGTAGTTACCAAACTGCTTGATTTTTTTATGTTGAAAAATAGACGTAGTAGGTTTATTTATGGGCAGACAAACCGACAAGCAGCTACCGACATCGCTGGCTCTCCGAACATAAAAATTCTCTATTTCGTTTCTTTCCTAGATTTTTATAAGTGCAATGCACCCATTCAAGCCACCTCGTACAACATTGACTCACTTAGGATGATAGCAGATTCCAAATTAGAGAATTTAAAAAATAGATTACACATATTATACATAAATAGGGTATTAAAAACTGAATGATTTTTCAAATTTCTTTGATATTAAAAATACAGTTCATTGTGATCCATTTTCATTAGAACACTTCGAGTAAGTTGCTCGATTTCATATTGGTGGTAAAAATTCACCACGATTTTCATTTATCCGAAATGGTTAAAAATTCTTTATTTGAAGAAAAAGGTGCATGTATGAAAAAGAGCATATCTCAGAAGTAGAGCGATCCAAAAAAAATTAATTTTCTTCTTGTATGTGGCCGGGTAACTAATTGACCGGAACCAAAGCTGGCCATTCTGTGACAATTTCGCGAACATTTTTTCTGACTGTTTGCAGTCGTGTTCTGAGTTCTTGGGAGCAGAACGTCCATCAGCACAAATTTCTTGATGATCGCTTTCGTAGTTCGAAAAGTGCATAATGGGGATTTTTCAATTTCCTTGAAGCAACGGAACAAGCCGCGTCCATTGTCCACAGTGAGACGGGTTCTGCTAATACACTTTTCTAATTCGTGCATTTTATAAAATATATTTTTTATGTAATATTTTTTATCATTACAAAAGATTATACGGTGGCGCACTCTTAGTTTGAAATAGAACAGAAGCAATTAATTAAGATTTTTAGTTGAGATAAAAAAAGTCAATGGCACGAGCGGGATTCGAACCCACGATCTTCGGCTTGATATTCTGATTCTCGACGACATATGGTCGTCATTTGAAAAATGGCAAAAAGGAGGGAACATTCAAGAGGTGCGGTTGCGATGGGAAGTTGGTGTCCGAGTGGATCGAGGTCAGGATAGCTCAAGTGGTAGAGCACCGGCGTATCAAGCCGAAGATCGTGGGTTCGAATCCCGCTCGTGCCATTGACTTTTTTTACCTCAACTAAAAACCTTAATTAATTGTAATATATTAATTAGTCAAGCGGACCTCGAAATTAGGGAATTGAATAGGACAGAAGGTTTTGAATTCCCTTTTTTTTTTTTTGAAGACCGTAGAGTGTTATATTGGAAAGTAACCTTATATTTTATTAACAAATAAACGGCAAATAGCCCTGTTCCTTTATCATATCCCATGATACATTATGTAACCTGTTTTTGAAGATAGGCATCAAGCAAAACGTTGTATATGGATTTCCGATGAGCTTTCCACGTCTTTTAAGCAATCGCGACTTGCGAATTTTATGTTATGAGGCTCAGTTGTGGAGTGTTTATCATGTTTATCAAATACCCAAATGTATTTCACGTCTTACTTCGAAATTTACCGAGTTACATAATTGGTCTCGAGACATTAATTAAAAAACACATTAGTTCTGAAAGAGTCGCGTATTTGTCAGAATCCTGGCTGAGGAACTAAAAAAGGAACATAAATGGTTTTAAGATTTAGTAAAGAACATAATATGAGTGCTTTTAATTACCTAAGAGAAAGTAATAATCAAAAAGTCTTTTGTAAAACTAAGGTTGTATTCGGATTTCCATTCCAAAGGTAGAGTGTTGGAGAAATCTTTGGAATTCAGTTGAACTAAAAAATCTTAGTTACTACCTACATTTATACTAAAATAAAAGACTTATACGTCTAAACTTCAATATTCAGGCTTGGAACGATTGACGATGGGCCATGTTTACTGAGGACAAAATTATCTAAAGAGTCAATCTTTAAAATGATAAAGACTTCCCGTTCTGCTTTCAGTACCTCGTACTTTTTAGTAGTAATATCGCTAGACATGCCTAATATGGCATCTGCCTGTCTCCCCTCTCTCAGTTTCTATTGTTTATTTACATGGCTTATCCTTGCAGATGGTAGTCCATTTATGAGCCTGTGGGCTGCTGCTCTGGCTTCTCCTTCGATTAAAATATGAAGTGATGGGAAGTATACGGGGTCGTAGTTGGCGTTGTGCTCATGGCTCCAGCCAAACTGAGGCAGCATTGTCTTTGGGTGCCTCTTAATAGCCTGATTGCTTTGGCTTGCAGAGTCTTGGTCGACCACACCACCGACCCTTATGTAAACATTGGTCTTAAGACGCAAGTGTATAGCCTTGGGGTCATTTTGGAGTTTAAACCCCAGTTCTTGGTGCAGAGCCTTATGCACATCCCCCAGGTAATTTTGGTTCTCTGGGTAGCCAAATGAGAATTCCTTGAGAGCCGCTGGTTTAGTGTGATCCCAAGGTATTTGCCCCCTTTGGAAAACGGGATCGGGGTCCAGTTTAGACTTGGAGTTTTTAGGCTTCCTATTGTCCTCTCCTTGTGAATTTTTCATTTGTCGGGGTGAATATTCCCTTTTGCACCACCTGTCAACCAGACTGAAGGCTCGTTGTATACGATCCTTCTCGTTGTTTGCATTGCGGCCTTTTAATTCTACGGAAAGGTCGTCCGCATAGCCTAGACTGTAGAATTCA